GATATGGTGGCAGAAGTAACCAGAGAATCAAATGGGAAGCATCGTCTTCGGTGAACATGAGAGCGAAATTTGCAAACAACATAGCATGAGGTACAGATTGCATGAGCATTCTTCACATAATGTTCATAACTAAAGATTTGGTGCATTTGTTTTTCCCGCTCTTGAGATTCTGAAACACTGCCATCTCTCGCATACAGAATTCACGCATCACATTCGATATAATATTCTAAGGACACAGTACCAAAACTACAAATAATGACACGTTCACACTTACTTGTGAACCAGAGTAATCGAACTCGCCTCCTTGACCGATACAAAGTCCTCCGGAACCGAGGATAAGAACCTTTTTTGGTTTTGGTGGTTTAAGGACTTCCTCCGTTGGTAGTTTCAGGTAATGCCCAATCGACTGTCTAACCGGGGTCCTAGTAATTCGAAAATTACAACAGAATGTTACACACCGTACATGTTCAGATTACGTGGTCTTGCCATTCTTAAACTTGTAAACATCATTCATAAATAGGTCGAACAAGAATTCAGCGTCAACAGGTCCCGCGCAATGTTCTGGATGAAACTGTACGCTAAATAAACAATAAGCAACAAAAACTTAGAATATGGCTAGCATATTAGTGTCGTTAATCAGTTTTCATAATGAGCATAATTTACATAAACTCTCCATTACTCTTTCTAATAACTGGTTATGAAATGTTACTCTGTCTATTTTAATACAGAGTAAACAGTACTGAATGACGAATCTTCTAGTATTGAAATGTCTGACAACCACGTAAGCGCCGTTTAACTGCTTTTAATTAGTTTTCTTAAAGAAAGGAAATCTCCGTAATCTATTGCAATGATTTCTATAAAGATGTATCACTGAAGGTTTTACAGACTTTCGTTTGGTTTCAAGTAAACACAAACAATTAATTTATGCAGATTGACTGTCTGCAGGTAAAATTTCGCTACGTGTGCTAACCTGAAAGTCAACGGAATGTCTAGCAGCTTTATTACTAAGCTTCAAAAATAAGGTGAGCATGATCAACATAAATAGCAATAACGCTTTTCAACGAATTACTGGAAGTTATACTTATTATTACTGACTTCAGCACAAATTGTGACATTCCGCTGTGGCTTCTAGCAAAAGGTTTGTTTTGGTAATAATAGAAAAGACGTATAAATACACGTGATCAACACACAAGACAGACTATTCTATAGTGTCAGTTCTCCTAAAGGGCCAATAAGTAATCAGGATCATATAGTTTCTTACCGGTCATGTGCCCGTGGACAAATGATAGGCTAAGTGCAGAGGGTTCTTTCCTGATGTTGTGCAAGTGGCGTAATCAGCTCTGCGAATTAGGACAGTTTCTTCCTGGTAGCGTCGCTACTGTAGACGCTGTATGCGAGATGAGTAGGAAATGCTGACGCACCTCTGACTGACAGTGTCAGCCTAGCTGTTCCGGACATCATACGGACCGCCACATAAGCATTATAGTTCGTTTATGCAAACTGATTGACAGCAGGTATAACTGTTACTGTTAGCAAACGGAAAGGTACAGCTGTTACCTTGAGTACTAACTGTCGTCTACCACAAGCGATTACTGAAGGTTAAAATGAACTGAACACAAAGGCTTCAATAGCTGTTGCTAAAAGTATGTTACTGTCGGCCCACTGTTAGACTAGTGTGTAAAGTAGATATAAACAGTTCATTCACGCAAACTGATAAATCAAACAACTGACTGATCATCCATTTTCTTAATTAATGGGAATTATCACTGCCAGATCCCGTGTCAACGCTCATATATCTCTACGATTGGTTTTCGCAAGCCTCCATATCTCTTCCGTATAAATTCTTGCCCCGTCTGAGACGAGGTCTTTCAATCAAGAGCATATAATATCTCGAGTACCAAGCTGCCACCAGTGAATTGAACTGTTATCCCAAATCACCTGTTTTGGCAAAAATCGATAAATGCCCGTTGAAATTTGGCAATATATCACTCCGATAGCGAAGTAAATGTCTTGCATGTGCTCGTTGCTAGTCTGTTGTTATGAGTGAAACATAAATTGATATTGCATGTCACTCAGGCTAGTATTTTGAAACAATCACTTCATAGGTTGCACAGGGAGGTTTACGGGAACATTTTAAAGCAGATCGAGCTCCATGGCATTTAGCTCTTGCACTGCATGGATACAAAATCGTATCGCACAAATGTGTTTCGCCGAACAACACCCGTTCGGAAACCAACTAAATATTGTCATTCGCAAGTGCACATGTAGTTAACAGCAACGATGATATTCTCGGGTTATTTGCTTTAAATTTACTTTTGATTAACTCTGTCGTTGCCGGTCCCAAGCCCGGATCAGAAAGGACAAGGGCTGGAGACTGCAGCGAAATCTCCAGTAAAAACTCAGTCACCTTTCCTGATGACTGACCTCGTTTTGTGTGTCAACGTCATGCGCATTCAGCTGCAGCACGAGCAAACCCCTGAATTTCTTATTGCTTCATTCTTATTCCTTCTACGACTGCTGTGGATGTAATCAAGAGACCAAAAGTAGCAGAAAAATCGAACGTCTGACAAAAGATTGCAGTAATAGTAGCAATAATTTTAGGCAATTTCCGTGCCATCCTGTCGAAGTTCGATGAGAAAGGCATTTATTGCCATACCACTTGCAATAGCTGCGTTGTTCCCCTAAAAAAACTTTGCTACGACCAACGGATAATAATAATATCCTCAAGTTGGACGACTTCATTTGTTACGGCCTTGGTCATGCTGGAAAAGTCAAGTCCCGTGGTGACAGTATAATAACGAGGATCAAGTTCTAACCCTAGCGTGCAAACTATTCAGAAACATTTAAGTTCTGCGAAGACGATCAGCAGTGTCTCGTCGTGGAACGCAAGCTAAGCTAGTCCCTGAAAAAACAGATGGTTTTAACCCTGAGCCCTTTAAAACTACCTGATCGACTCTGTAACGGTAGCGTCGGCAAGTTGAAATGCATCCTAACCAGATGCTTGATAGCGACAACAGTTTCTGTGGGCAGTTTTATTCCGACGGACTCAACACAACCACTGTACCAGTGTTTCCAACAGAGCCTTTCGAAGCATCTAGGCACAAGGTCAGTGCACGTTCCTTACACCGTCGGACATAGGCTTACCGAAGGTCAAATATTCCGTTCTCTGTCTGACGTATGATCGCTCCCAAGAACGAAAAACAGTTATTTTGAACCAGACTCAGGTCAGTTCGATATGGAACCACTTTTTCAATGCTTCTCTTGTTGATTTATATTTGTTCACTTGCTATATCCAGTTGGTGGCAACTTATCGTGTGGCTTAGGGTTCACTAAATTAAATTTGACTAACTAATACCATCGTGTAACATCGATGGATTTACCCAGCGCAGTCCGCCACTTTTCTGCCTCTAGAGATATAGGAGACCTTCTAAAAAGCCCGTCGTGACATGGTATTACAGCACCTGAACCAGTTTAGACCGAATAACCACCTGTTGGAAAACTAATTAACTACTAAACTCTATGAAGAAAGAAACAGAGCAATAATGTTGAGCAAATAGGTTAAGTTGGATTAATCCTGCTAGAGAAAAACAATGAAAAGATTTAAAGGAAAATCAAAGAGAACAGACGCTACGACGATTCACTAACGTTGATATGAAAATGCTATTTTACGCAACGTTCGATCATTAAGCATTCGGTGTGGCGCTGACATCTGTTTTGTCGCAATCATCTACTTTATGAAGGCAATGTCTTGAGCTAGCAAGATAAGGGGAGTCTTCTGGTTCCTGTCCATGAAGCGGAGATCATTATCCACAATCGAAAAATGAAGAACCAGTAACCCGCCCGGGATATGAACACTCCATCTTTCGACTTTGAGTGCGATACTCAACCATCTGAACTACCCTAGACTGAGCACCCTCTTCATTAGGCACGATTAGTCACTAGTGGAGTGCTGCATATTCCATGAAGCGACTAAAACATTTGTTAGTGGCAGATGTAACTGCTTCGCCTGAAATGTCAGGTCCAACGTTTCCTTCGACCGGGCATATGACGTCGTGGAAAATTCGAAAACCACTATTTTTGCCTTAAATGGAAATGAACAGAAACGATACAAGGAGAGTTTACTAAACGGTTTTGCTGCGTGACAGAATAGAAGGCAGCCTATGCCGTACACTGTAGTGACAAAGTGAATTAAGCACGATTTTTAATGACGTCGCTTCAGCTTATTCGATACCAGGCGGTAAATCGCTGAGTTCAACGTAATGAATGTCAATGTCAACGCAATGCTAAGTACAGGAGAAAGTAAGAAACTTTGAAATGAAGCCTTTTAAACTTTTATAGCCGCCGTTTAGAAAAGTTTCAAAAGGTTTACATCTTGGTCTATCAAGGAAGCTCACAACAGGTATACTTTGCACAGTTATACTGCTGACAACGAGGAAAATGCATCGGAGCCATTACGTTTCAAACAATGTCAGAATCATCAGCATGCAGTACAAAGACTGAATGTACAAAAATGCTATGTTTATAATTAGTGAGGAGTAGGTAAACCATAAGCACCTTCCCAAACATTAACAGAGTAATGCCTTACGTCTTAACTGCGGATTGCTGGATAGTGGCAACCTCTTTTTTGTCTGCATATAACTAGTGAAGATGGATCGAGCATTATGTGAAAAAATCAGATATTTCGTCAAAAGCAAAACCTGCCTTCGCCGAAAGACATAACCTTCCCTGCAACAGTGAACGTTGCATAATACCAATCTGTTACACTAGTTTTAAGTCAGTGATCGTAAATCTAGGTTACTTTGCTGCTTAGTTTTGTTGGCCTTAAACGATTATAACCAAAATAACTAGTCAGAACTAAGTGAAGTAACCTAGGTTGATAGAGAATTACATGCTCGAATAAAAGATTCAATTTAAATTACAATTTAAAAATTGATACAGATAGTCCCTGAGTCACGATCATTCGACCTAAGATTTTTCTATCTTACGATACGGATTAAGATACAACAAAATTCAAAAAATAATTCCGATTTCACAAGAAGAACAGCTGGGCGTAAGTATGTGCCATACAATAGTTCGGGTATGCTTGGGAGACTGCTACCGGCAGCATCGCATCACTTAAGGCGTGGCCTGCCTCAGTTTCCAGCGATCTAACCCTTAGTGAGACAGCGATTCAAAAAATATTTGCCCTTGTGTGATTTTGTGCTTAAAGTTGCGCTTTTTTCTATAAGAATGCCCCCCCCCCCAAACATGTTAATGTTTCTCTTGTTGGTAGTGAAAAGAAGAAGAGGAAGGCTATTATCTTGGAAGATAAAATGGAGATCATAAACCGGCGGGAAGCAGGGAAACCAGTCACAGTCATAGCACGTGATTTTCAGTTATCCCAGTCAACGGTATCAACGATTCTCAAAAACAAAAAACGGGTCAAGGAAGCTAGCAAAGGTGTTGAATCTGTGCATTCCACCATAATATCGAAGAAGAGATCTGCCATTTGCAATATTATTGATTTACAGTGTACTAAATTGTACTAAAATTTATTGCTGCAAAACACATTGCAAATGTATGTACTGTACTGTAATACCATTTCAAAGGTTTATTAATTACCGCTACAGTGCACTACAGTACAAGTACTCTATAATATTTACTGTATTACAAATTATAGGGTATGGGGTTTGTTAAATTTAACACAAAATCATACAGTACATTATACTATAACACTATCCATCATATCCATCATGGTATAACGGTGTCATACGTTATCTTCGTCTATACCCTATACAAAGGTCGTCTCCTACTTACGATATTTTCGTCTTACGATGCGATCATCGGAACGTAACCCCATAGTAAATCGGGGACTACTTGTATTTGATTTAGAAGTTACACACGACAAATCACATTTTTTATAAGTATCTATAATACGTTAGCAATAAACGAGTATTTAACCGAGGATGCTTCAGGTAGATGTAAACATGGGTAGCAGATTAAAGTTAAAAAATATGTAGTTTGCGTATATGCTATTCATTCATTATTTAAGTAGTTTAACACGGAATCAAAGAATGGACTCCAATCTGAATTCGGAATAATATCCTAAAGATCTTGCATCTGAAGGTGGCAAACCACCTGTGGATGACAACCCTCAACAGATAACGGGTTCGTGATCTTGTCTTGGATGAGGTCTAATGTTGTTACAGTTTCTGTCAAATGAAAATGTGCATCAATTAACCTGGAACACCAAACAAGGAAAATCTGTAGCAACCGCGAAATTTCATCAAAGCAACCCCCAACAGAAACTCCTTAATTTTAGATCATCCAACGTTCTAAACTGCCTTCAGATATTCCTGTACATTTTGCGCATTTGCTCAAAAGAAAGATAAATGCGGGCTCTAGTTTAACATACTTAGCCTTGTTCAGTAAGATCATTCCACTATTCTTTTTCAGCGAAACTTCGGCGATGCATATTAGTCGTAGAATGATAGACCACATTCTACTTTCTTACTTCGACTTGTCTTCAGTTTGATAAATCAGAAGTCAAACCCATCCGTTATCGATCGGAATACGCCCTTCCATCCCGTCATAAGGGTAAATCGTTTAATTGGTGATTACAGTTAAAGTGTGCCTGTACATGTGTCTATGGGAGGATAAAAGTAAGACTTAAGCGACTAACGCTTGTGGAGCACAGTGCTAAGCGGATTTACGATCTGAGTCAAAAAAGTAAACTGTTTTTAGTTTTTCTGGCATGCTAACTGTTAAACATAAAACACGCATGAGAACTCGACAGTACCATGTATTTGTAAGTTTGTTCTTATTTCTGATACGTACCCGAAAATTGGAAGCCTTTTATGTGCAATTCCTTCGACCGTCTGATCGTTAGCGTTCACAAATAATACCTCCCAATTTTTTTTAAGCGAAGCATTCTTAACCGCGTAGCCATGGTTCTGCGCAGTAATAATGCACCGGTCACTGTCCACAAACACACATGGCTGATTGTGGCCTCGATTGCCATAGCTGAAAAACAGTTGCCTATGGCGTATCGATCGGTGGTTCTGATTCATTTTGGCCCTTACTCTAGCTTATACGTTTCGGCATCTGCTGCAAGAGCGATCAGCTGATGACCGAGACAAACTCCCATCATGGGTGTAACGTTGTCACTCAACGATATCAGTCGACGAATCTGTACTATCAAATCTGTGCACATCGCTGGATCTCCGGGGCCGTTGGATATGAAAATTCCATCGCATTCTAGAAATAAAATGAGCCTTAAATAAAGGTACATGGCAACATAGAAGTATATGCCCATTTTCTGACTCATCGCAGCATGAACACCTGAAGAATCCTACACTGATTTATAGCACCGATGCATCAATCGGTCAGTGTCAAGGTAAATGCTGTTTACACCGGCATATAAATTTATGCTCAAGTTTCGACTTAGTTTTTATGCTCGACTTTTGCCGCTTAACTCAACAAAAGAAGCTAAAAGAGTTCGAAAGTGTAACAGATGTTCAACCAAATCAATAAACGCTAAATTTTGGAAAGCTGAACTACGCAATGCCTTAATATGCTACTTTTGTTTGGTCAGAATGCTGAACTATAAAGGGCTTAGGTTAAACACCAGCAAATATTTCGAAGGCGCTTCGTGCGCTGAAATACCTGCTAGCCTACTTATTACTGTCACTATGAATAACCTATCATGTTGTTACACATAGTTGGCCGAAATTTCCTGACTCCTACTTTGGAATAGGCAGCTGCGCGATCTTCTGACGGGGTCTCATCACAGGCTGTCAGTCGTGTTCAACGTTTAAAAAAGCTATACCAAATAGGATAAGCGAACTGGTTCCAACGGTAATTCTGACATTCCACTGTTAAAATGGGAGATTTCGACAGCGACTTCGAACCTACATCAGTCTCAGATGTCTTTCGGCACCGGCCATCTGATTAATTCTTCATGATACATACCAATGGACAGTTCAGTGGCGTTAGTTTCAACAGCGATAATTTCATCAAATACTGTTGCAACTAGTTTTATCACACTAAGCAAGTAAGAAGGATTTTAACGAACAGAACTACAATGAAAGTTTATGGGGATAATAAATTGAAAATAAAACTTTTCGCTGTGCATTCAACATCTACATTTTCATGAGTCATTTATGCCCCTTAAACAGATTACCATTGTCTGCCATTTTTTTTCGCTGATTCCAAAGGAACGAGACATTTGGATTTGCATAACCGAGAGATATCTTCTGTACCCTCTATCTGACAACTTTTAAAATTAAAAGTATAACAGAAGCATGAAAGTGCGCACAAAGAAAAGTTCACTGAATTTTCGAATACACATGGATTAAGAGTCTACACTTTATCCTAAACTTGCAGTCGGCGACTTTTCTTTTCGTCATTTCTAAATTTCTGAGCTTCAGGTAAATTAATGAGCCTAGAAAGCAACAAACTGTATAATATTTTCCATAACTTTCTTTCAGAACAGATCTTTCCATTTTTTAAGCGTTTGGAAGCATATGCACCGGTTACAGCTCGGATTGAATTACACGATCGCTGGACATTAAATTAAGGCTTTAATCATTAGTGTTTATAATGCCAAAGAAGTGGACATTACTTTTGATTTCATGAATATTAGCATGAAATATCAACAAAAAAAACTTTACTTAACATCAATCGGACTTTTCGGCCAAACTGGCGTCGTCATCAGGAAAATTTTCTTGGCACAGCACATCGGACTCTTCGGTATGAGTTTAGGAAGCTATTTACATTAGGTTTAATATATTTCACTGAAAGGCTAGTTAGATGCTTGAGTTTACCGGCTTTAAGCTGAGTAATCTGTACAAGGTATATGTTTTCAGCTTCATGCTGTTTAGCATATCACAGTTCACAAACTTTGGCTAACAAGACCGGTAGAATGGACAGGTCTAAGAAATAAGGGGCTAATAAGTCAAGCGGCTTCTCATTTGGCGGAGGCTGTTTGCCATTAGCATACAGAAAATTTATTAGCTAACTTGATTAGTAAGAAATAATGAGAGTTATTCAAATGCTCTTAGCAATATTCCAAAAAGCATATGCGGACAGTCTAGCAAGTGTTTTGGGTATTGCCGCAACATCAAGAAAAGGCCGTTAACAAATCTTAGGTAATCGATCAGTAGTAATGAAATTGGACACTCCTGCAGAATGTTAATCTCAGTTAATCTATAAACAAATCAACGAGCGCTACACCGATAAAGAGCCCATCGTGAGCCCACACGTATGAGGGCAACACGAGCCTTATGAACAAAAACTGGTGCTTTCGAAAAGGAAGGAAGGAAGGAAAGTCTCTATCCATTAAGATGCCAGTCTGATTAAAATTTAATGAACGGGCGTCACTGTAACACCCTACTTTACCTGGATTTCATGGTGCAGCGCTAATCTTCCATTCTGTGCCATCAATCAGGAGTGTCTTGTTCCTTTCTGTACTTTCGAGCACAAATTTGAATAAAAAAATCAGAAAGAC